GGGGGGGAACTGAGTAATAAAGAAAAATGTTGAGAATAACAGCAAGGTTATCTTGTATATTAAAGGCAAGTAAAACATATTTAAGTCCTGATTCTCTTTTCCACTGAGGTTCATCTACACGATGCTGGCTTGGGCTTTAGTGCAAATGATTGTACAAGGTACAAATGGAGTTTCATACCCAAGGATGCCTCAGTCTCCAGGGACTAAACAAAATAGCAACACTAACCAAACTCTTTGGTTCAATTGGCAGTCCATGCTGAAGAGGGTGGCTCATCCCAATCACATTTGATGAAACTGGCTAGAAAGTTCCCATGTACTGGTGCTCACAAAGCATGACCTATGATGAAGAAGAATCAGTTCAGTTTTGCCAGCTCATGATTATCTCACAGAATGTGATTGATTTGTTTTCTGTTTCATGTTAAAAGTTTCGCAATGATCTCCCTGTTCCTGGAATCACAACTTATGACATTTTCGTTATTCAGACCGGTCTCTTTGTTCCATTCCTTTCAGTATGGCTGAAGCCAAGCTCCCTCACCTAGGGTGATGAATGATCACCGTTTTCTCTGGGTTTGGGCTGTAAAGGCACGATGGCCCCTACTAAAGATGTCTGCCACATCACCTGTTTTCAATGACATGGTTGCCAGGCTACCTCCAGGGAAAATGATGACTCCATGAACTCTATTTTTAGGGGTTTGGATAGCAAATTGTGAGAAGGCAAACAAGGGTGAGAAGCATGACATAGCCTGAAGAGGAGCCAAGGGAAATTGAGGTTCTAAAGAGATGCCAGGGGAAAAGGAAGGAGTAAGGCAGAATATTGTGTAATTTAAGAGAGGAAAAGACTGAGGGGGCACTGGAGATTTAAAAAGGGTAAAAGGGGGTCCTGCTCTGAGTCACCAGTGTGGAGACCCCTGCTAGACACATGTATTTCAGCATGAACTTTGAACCTGAACTACCCATGCTCTTGTTGCAGGCAGGCTACTTTCCCATGGAAACAATAGGCAAAATTTGTAAATGCCCAAATGTGGCAAATTGTTTTTATTCCCAAAGGATGTGTGGGGTGGGAGGGCTGTGTGTGAGAGAGAAAAACTTCATGGTTTTTAAACTAATCATATTTTTTGTCCTTTGTCTTTGTACAGCTCCACAGTTTATATCAAAACAGAAACAAATCTAGCAGTCAAGACCAGAACCCAAGGTTTTCCCAACGTGCTTTGTAAAGAATGATACAGGCTGGGGTGAGTCAAGTGTGCTTTGTGGGCACCCAACAGATCAGAGACTAAGGCAGATTTTAAGCATCTCTTGGCTCCAGTATGCGTCAGAGTAGAGTTTAGTCCAGAGTTAGGTGCACAGGTGCTTGAACTGAATCACAGCTGAGAAGGCTCAAGAAGGCTAACTCTAGACACTGGGGGAGTTTTGCAAGCCAAAGTGTGGGTTCCAAATGAATATTAGATACCTAAGGAGTCCTGAGGTAAGCAGAAAGGGATTGATCTAGATTACCTTTTGTGATTTAGGCACTTAAATTCCATTAGGAACCTAGCTGATTGACTGGATCTGGCTTTGTATCCCCATGTAATAAATGGTAACTGCTAAGCTTTCCAACAAATGTCAGACAGCTCTCTGTAGACTTTTTTCTTCTACACAAATCGAAAGGCCTTAAACACACTGGGAAATTACACTGTATAAGATCTTGTGATAACTAACAAAGAGTTAGTGAATATAACATTAAACATTCAGGCATTATGTACACACAGACGTGATACTTCTTTATCACTACTGTCATAGCTGTAGTTATACAGCACCTTTCATGTGGACACAGTTACAGCAGTATAAAGAGATGTATACATTGTACCAGCAGAGCTTATGCTTGCCAGGGGAAGAGAAGAATCTGTAGTGGTATAAAGGCAATCAGGACTTGTAGTAGTAGAGATGATATCTTTTATTAGACCAACAAGATTTTTGCTAAAAAAAATTCTTCTATTGCAACCTCTCGGGCACAAACACCCTTCAACAGGCATTGGAGAAAAGGTTGTAAAAGTTCTGTAAGATACCTTTAGACTAACATAACTGCATGCATACTAAGGGTTACATTGTTATAATAATAGTAATATCAATGAAGAATCACACTCTTCACCAATATGGTTGTGCTGGCACAAAAACTGTGTGTAGATGAAACCTTTGTGTAGGCAATGACAGGCTGGTGTAATATTAAATACTGCATGCCTTGGCTTCATTAAATGATAAGTCATGCTTGACATTGTACTAGGTAAGGCATTCTGACAACATAAGATTAGCTAATGTGCACGGGGTCTCAGCAGGAGGAAAGAACTGGGATGGGCTCCTCCTACTGGGTAAAAAAAAATGTCATGAGGCTATGGGGATCATGACAGTCCTCACTCCCTGTTTTTCTCCTCTTCATGCACCTCTAGCCCCAGAGAGCTCTTCTTGCTGATGGGTCCTGTCTTCTGCCCTGCCTCCACTTTGAACCTTATGGGCTAGATTTTCAGAAGTATTTCGTGCTACCACTCAGGTCAGGTTTCTGAAAGAGCTCAGCTTCTTTTAAACACTAAACTCAGTGACCAAACTGCCAAAAGAGCATATTGGGCACTGAGTTCTTTTGAACATCAGCTTCCAAATGTGCATGTTGAGCCCTCGAAAAAAGCTGAGTCTGGCCTGTTTTGAAAACAGCTTCTGTATGGTATTTGAGAGTAGATAGATCCAGGCAGCCAAGCAGGTAATAACACAAAGGGCCTGAGGCAGAAAGGAGGTTCCCTCAGCTCACCACAGTGCCCAAGTGGATCTCAGCAGGTCTTGATGGCTCACAGATTGCTTTGGGATTTGGCCTAGGAGATATTCATAGTCCAGCTGCTTTGTTAAGGATGTAGGTAAAAGACCATGTGGTGCCTTCCAGTTTAGAATTCATCTTTGTGTAACTTCTCCATCTTTTTACTCTTGATCCCAAAACAAGTTTATTCCATGTCTCTGCCTGGAGAGATAATTCTAAAGTGAACAACAGTATTCCTGGAAGGGGATCTGTTATAATTTCATTGTTTGCGCACTTATCTGATAGTGCATTGTTTATATGTCCTCTTTAGAATGATATATGGATGCTATTCCTTTCAAGAATCATAAAGTATTTTACTTGTTATCTGACACACAGGCAACTGAAGTCAAGAAATGGTAAATATCTTTATTTTTTAAAAGGTTTTTTAATGTTTCCCATTACGATAGTAGCAAAACACCTCAATCATTTCTACACTTAACCTCATAACATTGTGATGAGCTAGAAAAATATTATTATCCCTGCCTTGGTAAGGCAGAGAAAGATTAAGTAACACAGGTCCAAGGTCACACAGGAAGTCTGGGAGTGAAGCTTCAAATAGAACACAGCCCTCCTGAATCCCCTTGCAGTGCCTTAACCACAAGACCATTCTTCCTTTCCCAAGGTTGCAAATGAAGTCTGTGGTACAGCCAAGAATAGAACCCCAGTTTCCTGACACCTAGGCCACCCACTCTCCCTGTGTATAAACAGACTATCAATGGTAAACTATTTCTAAAACTATTTTTGCAATTAAATCTGGAACAAACTCTTTACGTCCAAGACTTTCTGCATTTCACTGCTTACAAAAAAACCCTTATGCTGGCAAGGTAGTGCATGTGTCCCTGCTAATTACTTCATATCACAGAAGTGGTTTCATCTCACCTTTTACCATTACATATTAGTACTGACTCTGTTAAATATGGAGCGACAAGGAGGAGACTTCGCATTGTCGCCACTTCTCATAGGCAAATCACAAACAGGCTTGCCAGAGATGAGTGCAAGGAGAAATAAACTACACTCCTCTGCATAAGGTAGTCCCTCAACCAAGATTCACCTTCAAAGAATGCAGATGAAGTTGTTGCCGCTGACCCCTCCTTTAGGATTTTACATATGGAAGAGAGATCTTTATGTTGTTAGGACCCACCATAGCTCCAGTAATAGAAAATGGTAGATAGGCTGAACTCAGGAGGGCCTGGAAAGTGCACCAAGAGGTTTCAGTGCCATACTGAATGCTGGATCAGGCCTAGTGAATGTTGGATTGGGCCAAGAATACCCAGGTGTCTGAGCCACACAGTTTCCTTGTGCCATTTTCTTTTTAGAATTTTGTGGCTGGTTCCTCTATGTAACACTGCTAATTACAGAATTAAGTTCTTATTATGTTGACCCACAATTGAGTGTGGAGATGGAGACAGAATGGCTACAAGCAGAGGAAGCAAAAAAAGCATAGGAGGGGCTTAATAGAAGAAGTTATGTTCCATACTTCACTATAATCCTGTATCCTTTGTCTGCTCCCCTTACCACCCCTGGCTCTCCCATTTCAGTCTATCAGATAATAAGATGGCAAGATTGGATCCATCACACTGTTTTAGTAAAGACATCGCTTTGGTTATCATTAATAATATTTATTTTGGAAAAATATTTTTAAAATGAATTTCTTCATTAACAAAACAGTAAAAAAAAACCTCAAATAACATTTGCACAATCTTCCATAAATACATTTATATACAAAAAATATAGTCACATAGACCCGAAGTGCCTTTGTACAGATTTACCAAAAAATTTAAATTATAAAAAATGAACGTCACAAAATACTCAAGCTTTACAATTATCATGAAAATATTTTTACAGATTCCAAAAAATAACACACTTTTTTCACCTAGTAAAAACACATTTTAGTATCAAAAAAGACAATAAAGGCAGTGTTTGTGTCTCTAATTCAAGAAAAGACTGGCTCATAAGAATCCAAAATATACACTTCAGGCAGTGCACGCTTCTTATGTAGTAATTTAGTCCGTTCATTTAAATATATATAGAAAAGCAACTGACCATAGTGCAATGATAAAATTCATAAAAGGCAGTGCAACAGTAATCCTTGAACACAGACCCTTGCCTAGTGTCCATCTTGGGTTTTTTGTTTGTTTTTTTTTGTTTTTTTGTTTTTTGTTTTTTGTTTTGTTTTGTTTTGTTTTTTTGCAGTCACTTTGCTAACTTCAGTAGAGAACCAGCTCAGCCTGAATTTAGTTTCTCAGCAGCAGTCAGTGAAGGAATCTATCTCCCATTCCTCTTTCAGCAGCATTCATTGGGGCATATCTCCTTTGAAATTGTTTTGAACAACAACTTTGCCATATCACCTCTGGTTTACACCTGTAGAGAAGAGAAAAGAAACAAAAACAAAGAGAAGGATGGGTTAGTAGAACATTATTGAGGAGTGCAATGCTTAAGAAATGGGTGGTGGCTTCAGCAGCAATCTCCATTCCAGGGCAGAAAGGACCCCAGAAATATGGCATAAATCATGATACTACATTTGTCACTCTGCAAGCTTGCATTTGGGGAACTCCTCCTGAAGCACGTGGTTTGCAGGATTAGGATTTATCTTGAGGGGGGAAAAACATGAGTTTCCCAACCTCTACAAGAAAAAAAAGCCCTTAGGACCAGATCTCACCAGGCATAAATTGGTGTAGCCTCATAAAAGGCAAAGGATGTATGCAGAACGACACGATCTGACTTACTATTTTTCTTTTGCAGCTACTAGGCAACGTACTGACCTCAGTTGCTATGATGCACTCATCTTTCTCTTCTGATATGACATACACCGACTGGTACTTAGTGTCCTTTGAAGTTGAATATACTGACTCTGGTCGTTTTCTTTCAGATGTATCACTATTAAAGACAAAACCAAGAACAATGAAAATGAGCTGCTTGCTGCTAATACCAACTAGGAAACATGCATACCCTTTACAGTAGAACTGTTTCCCCTGAGCTGTTACTTGAAATGTACCTCTTTAGTTGTACTGCACTTTTCTCCTCTGCCTCTGAATCATATGTTTCACACTTGGCTTCACATTTGCTGTGTTCCTCTTTAACAGAGTCCTCATTTTTGAGTTCATGCACCAAATTGTAATCCATTGATGGGTATCTAACTTTGTAGCCATTTTTATCAGAGTTATTATCACTGTGAAAGTCTACTTTCTTATTCGTGTTCTTAATCTGAGTGGCACCAATAACACTTATTGAAATGTCCTTCTCACGTTGGCAGTTGGCCAAGTTGTTCATGGTCTCAGTTTCACTCCTGCATGCATCAGGCTGACGGTGCCTCTTTTGCATTTTGAGTCTGACACAAACAACAACAGCAGCACACCCCAGCAACAGCATCAGGACCAGAATTATTCCAGCACACACGGCAATCCAAGGAAACTGTGTGTTCGGTCCTTCAGTGTACTTCTCAGTAAAGTCAACAATGACAGGTCCCTGAGGCTGTTCGGGGAGCAAAAACTGACAGTTGAGTCCGCCATATCCCCGAGCACACTCACACACATAACGGTTGTTTCTTTCATGGCAAGTAGCCCCATTGTGACAAGGGTTGTGTTCACATTTGCTGACTGGGGCACTACAGTTCTTCCCATTGTATCCTGGAGGGCAGGTGCAGGAATAATCATTAATTCCATCTTGGCAAGTTCCACCATTAGCACAAGGAAAGGAGGCACAGTCATCCACATTATCATCACAGTGTCTTCCAGTAAAACCAACCTGGCATTGGCATATGTAGGAATTTCCAAGATCAACACACTGGGCCCCTGCAATATATTAAACATGAAATATAATAAGCAGTGTGTATTTACAATATCAAGCAATATCTCTGCAGCTCCCATCATATGATAAATTTAAAGGGATGCTCTCAATATAAAAATCAAGGCCAAGACCTTAAAAAAAAGAGTGTGGAAAGATAACTATAGAATCCTGTTTTTGAAAATAGTAGCTCATTCCTTGCTAAATCTCCATTTCTGTTACAGGTAACAAAATTTTACCCACTCTGCGTGCCTGGCGCAATGAGCAGCCACCTGTGCATGGCTGAGTGAGTAGAAGGTATTCCCACCCAGAAGCTGTGCGTGCTGGCCAGGGCTGGGGCTGGGGCAGGCAGGCGTGGAACACAAGCCACAGGCAGGGGCAGGCAGACCTCGGTCCCATGCGGAGCATCATGAAGGCAGCCACAGGCTGGATGGGGAGACAGACTGCACCTGCACCATACTACCTGAGTGAGCCCTACACCTTCCTCTCTCCTCCACCCCAGCCAACCTCCATAACCCAGCACATGCACACATCTCCACACATATCCCACCTGCCACCCTCCCGCATGCACTCCACACCCTCACGTACACACACATACACAATTTCCCTCATACACACCCTCCACACACCCCACATCACCCACCATACACACATACCCACATACCCATCTCCTCACTCCCCACACACACATACCAAGCCCTGCCCCACTGCTCGTGACAGGTGGGAGCCATTGGGGAACTAATCCCAGGGACTG